AACCCCAACCCCAACCCCAACCCCAACCCCAACCCCAACCCCAACCCCAACCCCAACCCCAACCCCAACCCCAACTCCAACCCCAAATACCCATTCCAACGTCATTTATGTATTTATTATATCAAGTATTAATTTTATATATAAATTTTATAAACTATTCATTTTATATAAATTTTTTTCATATTTTCATTTTTATATAAAATTTTTTCATATTTCAATTTTTATATAAATATAAATATAAATATAAATATAAATATAAATATAAATATAAATTTTAATTTCATTTTATTTTATTTTTGTCTTATTAATATATATTTTTATAAAAATTATTTTTAAAAATAATTAAATTTACAATCACTCTTTATACATTTTTAAGATAATTTTTTTATTTAAATTATATGTAATTTAAAATTAATAATCTTATTACAGTAAAAAATTATATTTACTTTACTTTAATTATAATATTTAATATAAAATAATATAAAAATAAATTTATTATTATCACATAATTTTTTTTTTTATATACTTAATATTAAAAATATCTTTAATATATATCTTAATTGTTAATTTTTTATTAAATAATATTTTTACATTTAAAATATATATATTTTTTTTCTTTTTTTTTATTTTACTTATTTTTTATTTTCAATTTTTTCAAAAATTATTAAAAAAATTTTTATCATTTTAAAATTAAAAAAATATAATAAATTATTTAATATGAATTTGATATTATAAAATTCACTATTAACTTTAAAAAAGTTACAAAAATTAATAATATGTCCGTCATTTTTTATAAATTATAATTATTTAATATATAATTTATTTTAAAATATATCTTAAAATAGGATATAATACAAAAAGTATAATTTTATATAAAATATATTAAAATATTCTTCATTACATTAATAGGTTAATGGAAATAAAAATAACGAAAAGCATATTAAATTAAATATAAAATCATTTTAAATAATTTTTATTATACATGATAATTTATATTAAATAATAATTTTTATATAATGATAATATATAATATTTTAAAAAATATTATTATAATATACAATAAATAATTAAAATGATACAATTTTTTATATATAAATTATTATATATATTCTTTTCTTTTTTAATATTATTTAAATAACTATATTAAATTTCTAATAGTATTTAACAAAAATATTTTTGAATCTGAAATTTCGAATACAATATTTAATTTATTTTTAATATCTATGTTAAAATATTCAAATGGCTTTTATATTTTCATCATAATTTTTTTATTTTATAAAATAAAAATTATAATTTAATTTTTTTATTAAATATTTTGTTTATAATAAATAAAATTTAAAATAAAATTATTTAAAGCATTTAAAATAAAAGCATCTATTTTTTTTTTTTTCACTAAATAAAAAGATTGATAAAAAAATTATACAATATATCATTATAAAAATTAATATATTTTTATTTAATTATAAAAATGATAATTTATTTTAAATAAAATAAATGTTTTATTAATTTTTTTTAAAAATATATTTTTCATATTTTTTTATAAATAAATAAATTAACAAAAAAATAAAAAATAATTATTTCCGTTTATATATATTTTTTAAATTTTTTATAAAAATAATAATATTAATATTCATTTATTTGAATTTTCTTATTAAGTAAAAGAATCTATATCTTCTTGGCTTTATACTTAATAAAAACTAAGAAGTTAATCAAGAGCTTATTTTTAATTATTTTTTTATTTTTTTTTCTTAAACGAATTTTTTATTTAATTTACAATAAATTATATTTCAAATTTTGATTTATTTATATATATTTATTAAATTTCTTAAAAGCTGCTATTTCGTTTTAAAGCTCGATATATTTAATTAATTTCTTCTTATGTAAACTAACAATATTTTTGAAAAAGAAATTTAGAAATATGTTAATTCCATTTATTTTTGCAATCATCTTTTGATTTTGTTTTTAATTCTTTTGATATTTCAGTCCATTTAATTTATTTTTCTTATAATAATTTAAAGTTCTCATAATCAATATATTTTATTACAAATTATGTATTTTTATCAGAATCAGTTAATTTTCGAACTCTTTTTACTTTATTATATTATTAAACAGAACTTTCATTATATTCTTATGCCTTTTCATTGTATTCTTTTTTCATTTCTTTTCTATTTTATAACACCTTAATGTTAACTTTTTATTGAATTAATTTTATCAAATTAATTAATTCATCTAAGCTCCAAAATCCTTATTATCGTTAATTAAAATTTTCTTATCCTATATATATAAATATACAGTTTTAACATTTATTATATTTATAAAAATTAAAAGTAAAAAAATAAATAAAAATATATTAAATATAATAATTTTATACCTATTTATTTATATTTATCTCTTATATTTGTTGCGGTTTTTCCCATAATATTTGCAATTAATTTCCATTTATTTCCATGTTAATTGACTAAATTTATAAGTTATTAAGTTTCTTATTAATTCCATTTTCCTTTATAATTATTTTAATTAAATTTTCTTTTACAATAATTGTAACAACTTAAAATACTTCTTTAAGGTAAGCATTCAGATATTTAATTCCACACACTTTTTTTGCTTTATAAATTTTAAGAAAAAAGTTACAAAAACTAACTTTCGCTTAATTGATTTAATATAGCATAATTTTGTAATGATTTTATTAATTATTAACCTTCTTCTTCTGTAAATTTTCCTTCCTTTTTTACCTTATTTTCAAGATCTTTCCATTTTCGTTTGTTATTTAAACTATTAGGGTTAAATAATTCAGATCGAGCCTAATTTTAGGTAGTGTTTTCATGCTTTATATTTTCGTCTTCAGAAAGTTCTTCATCCGATTAATCATTAAATATTTCTTATTCCATTTAATCATCACTTTATTAATCTCTTGACATTTAAGGGAAGTTTTTTTATATAAAATAAATTATAAATTATAAATTATTTTATCTTTATTTGTATCAAAATAATTTTAGAAAAGAAAATATATATATATACAAATATATAAATTTATAAATATAATTATTAATTTTTATATTAAAAAATATTATTATCATTTCATTATTGTAGTATATAAAATAAAAAATAATTTAAAAATTTCGATTTATAAAAATAAATATATTTATTTAATTAAAAATATTTACTCTTATAAAATATAATTTCTTTAAATTATTATTCTCTATATTTTTTATAATAAACTAAATATAAATATATTTTTTTTATTAAATATCTTAACTTTTATTTTAATTAATATTAATTATTTATTCAAATTTTAATAAATATTAAAATAACAAAATAAAAAAAAAAATTTGATAAAATTTTCATTTGGATTACATTTTTCAAAAAAAAAATTCATTTCAACTCTTTTTTATACTTGTTTAAAAATATAATGAAAAATTAATAATATTTAAGATTTTAAAGTATTTTAAAAATTTTTGTTATTAATTATTTTAAGTATTAAAATATCCTTATTAATTTCATCATATAAATTCAAAAAAAAAAATTGTCTATAATTTAAATAGAATAATTTTATCTAAAAATAGCCCAAAATATTATAAATAATATAAATTAGTTATCCAAATAAAAAATCAGTTATATAATTATTTCTTTATAATATTAATCAATAAAAGTCTTTAAGTTTATAATATTAGAGATACAATATTCTTTTATGTTAGTTTTCTATATTAAAATTTACATTATTTAATTATCCCCTCTGCTTAATACAAAAAATTAGAAAACAAAGAACTGTAAATTTATCTATTATCTATGTGAATAATAATATTATTAATTTGATTTATATTAATAAAAAATATGTTTATATACACAAAATAGAAATAAAAAACATATTTATAAATGTATTTATATTTATTCTATTTGTAAATTTAACCAATTTACATACTTTTATATAGAAAATTCTGAAATTAATCTTAATTGTTATTCAAATAAAAAATATGTAAATATTAAGTTTAAATGTAATAAATCATTAAATAATATTTAACTCATAAAAGCATAAGCGAAATTAAAATAAATTTTTTTCATGAATAATTTTTTGCATATTTTTTTTTTCTTTTAATGTTTTATTCTTATTCAAATAAAATTAATAAAAAATTAAATATACACACATAAAATTCTTTAATAAAAAAAAAGATAAAGAAAAAATAATTATTACTCTTTTTAAATAAAATTAACAAAAAAAATGTAAAACGATAACATATAAATAGAATTAAAAGAGGAAAAACTAAATATAAAATTTGACAAAATCTATGATGAGATTCTATTTTTAATAAACAAAATAAAATTCCGTTAATTCGAAATGCACACTGTAGAAAATTTGCTAGAAGACATAAAAAAAATTGAATAACAATTCTTTTTATTACATCACACAATTCAATATTATTATACCTAAATTAAACAAAAAAAAAGTGATCTCAACATTCCCTTAAAAGAAACATTAACAACCGAAGAATTAATGGAAAAAGTTAATCAGGTACTCCAAAGAAGTGATAAATATCTCCAAAATAGTTCGGAGTCAAAAAAAGACTTAAATTCTATGTATCTTACACCCAATTATACATATGAAGTAGAAAATTTTACAAGGCAATATTCTAAAACAACGACTGTATTTATAGCAAAAGAAGTCGATTCAAGGCGTATAAGCCCTTAAACATAAAAAATAATAAACTATAATTTAAATAATATGACCATTATAAAAAAGCTTGGTGAAGGTAAATTCTCTGAAGTATATTTAAGTTGTGATAAGAAAACAAGCTTTTTATTTGCGTTAAAAAAAATAAAAAAAGAAACTATAAATCAATATAATATTACCTAAGATATCATAAAGGAAATAAAATCTTAAACTTTATTAGAACATCCAAATTTAATAAAACTTTATGGATTTTTCGCTGATGAAGAGGCAATATATTTAATACAAGAATTAGGACATGGAAAAGAATTATTCGCAGATTTAAAAAGCTAACCGAATAAAAGATTTAAAGAACCTATAACCGCAAATTTTATAAGATAAATTATATAAGCACTAATTTATATGCATTAGAAAAAATTCATACATAGAGATATTAAATTAGAAAATATCATGCTTACTAATGTATATATAATTTTTTGATTTTTTTTGATTTATATATAAAAAATAGGGAGTTCTTAAATTATGTGATTTCGGTTATACTACAGCATTTTAAGAAGATTAAATGAGAAAAACTTTTTGTGGAACATTAGATTATGCAAGTCCAGAGATGGTGGAAGGAAAAGAATACGATAATTCAGTAGATGCTTGGAGTATAGGAATTTTGACATATGAATTAATATTTGGTTAGGCACCATTTACAGATAAAAATGATATGGAAAAAACATTCTTGAATATTGTTAAAAATGAAATCGATTTTCCAGGACTTATTTCTTTTGAAGGAGTAGATTTTATTAAAAAATTGTTGGTAAAAAAACCTTAAGAAAGAATGACATTAAATGATGCTTTATAACATCCTTTTATTTAAAGTGGAATGACTTCAAGATAAAATTAAAGTGAATTAGAATTTTCAGATATGTAGCTTTTAAATTGATTTAAAAATATTTCAAAATAAATTAATTTTTTTTGAATAATTATATATATATATATATATAAATATTTTTTTTTTTTTTAAATTATCATATTATATTATAATAAATAAAATTTAAAAAAATATAGTATTTCTTTATTTTATATTAATTAAATTGAATATCTTTCTTTAAATAAATAAATAAATATTTAATAATTAATTAAATTAAAATAAAAAATTATCATAAATTTAAATAAATTAAAATATATATATAACTAATTATATGATTTTTTTTATGAAATAATTATTTATATTTAATAAATATATTAATATATAAAAAATTCTAAATGTATCAGAAGATTTAAAAATTTATTAAAAATAATCTGAACTTATTTTATTATATTTCCTTAATAATCTGTATTTTTCTGATATTTTTGATATTTTATGCTTACTATAGCTTTATAGGGTTATTATTTAACTCGTTTTTATCAATTATAGTAAAAAAAACTAAATTTTTAATATTTTATAATATTTATTTTTAGTTAATGATAATAAGCTTATATAAGTTACTTTAATTATTTTGTAGATTTCTAGTTTTTCCAGGCTCTTTTTGGTTTTTTTTAAGAAGTATAGAGAATAATTTTAGTGTTTCATTTGCAAAAAGAAGTATAATGATTGTATAAAAGCTTTAAGAAATTATTTAATGTATAATGGAAGATCCTGATTAAATAACTTTAATATATAATTAACACACTAGCGATTAAATATTTTAAATAAAAAATAACCTATAAGGCCTTTAATAAGCATTTAATTTAATGAACGATACATATGTTATATCTAAATAATAAAAATCTTTTTGTAATTTGGTTAATATGATAGTAGATTTACTAAAGTAAATTAAATTTAGTGATAATGAAAAGTCTTTTTAATTATGGGAATTGCTTTAACAACCAATGAAGTTATAAACATTAATTAAAAGTTATACAAATAATTCTACAAAATATAAAATATATTTATTTTAAAATATAGATAAATAATGCAAAGAGCATAATTTAACTTTGTAAGGTTTGATAGATACATTAAAATAACTCGAAGTAATTAAAAATGATCTATATTTTATTTATATATAAATATTCTTGTTAGTAACTATTAATAAATTTAATTGAATATCAACCTTTGAAACAAAGAGTTTTTAGATGGTTAACTAATCGAACATTTGGTACATTGGATTAAGTAATTTTTTTTTTTTTTTTTTTTTTAAATTAAAAAAAGTTAAGGATAGATATTGAAAATTAATTCGAAGTTAAAAGACTTTTTTTAAAATCTTTTGATTCAAAAATAATTGATTGGTATCTCTTTTTAAAAATAAAATAAAAATATTTTATTAAAAAAGTATGTTTATTTATGGAGAAAATTAATAAAATGTAAATAATTAAAATTAAATTAATTCTACATTTATTTACTGCAATCCTAATGGCGGATATTACGAAAACATATATTATAATGTTTATATTTATTATTTTTAAATATGATAAAGCCATTAAAATAAAAATAGAGCGATTGGATAGAGTTTTACATAAAAAAAGGAATCAACTTATTAATATGGAATTACAGAGGTTATGGATGTAGTGAAGGCTCACCTAATACAATAGTAGAAAATCATTTATATATAAATATATATATTTTTGTAAAAAAAGCATTTATTAAAAGACTGTGAATGTATAGTAGATTATTTAAGAATAGATTTAAAGTAATAAAAAATAGGAATACATGGATAAAGTATAGGAGGAATGATCGCTTGTTATGTAGCTTATTCAAAAAAACTAGATTTTTTGATTGCAGATAGGACTTTTTCTTAAATATCTGATATAGGATAGTACAGATTAGGAAACAAATCAAAATAATTATTCAGGTTTTTAACTAATTGGGATCTCTAAATAAATACTAGCTATTTAAACTGCTCTTGTTATAAAGTAATCAGTTTTGATATAAAAGATGACATAATTCCTTATTAAGCAAGTTTATAGAATGGAGTTAGTAAATAATACATATTTAATCATTTAAACAGTTTGGATTATTAATATTTAAAATCTATAAAACAAAGCAATGGATTTTATTCATAAGTTAAAAATTATTTTATTGCAAAAAAATTATAATATAAGAAAGCACTTTAAAATGAAAAATAACCTTAAATAGAAAATCACATAGAGAATTTTATTTCTATTAATGATTATAATTCTTTGTTTAATTCCATAAGAAGAATTATTGAAATTATAGTAGAAATATCAAAATATAGGACAGTTGAACATAATACTACTTTTAATAGTTTTTTAAATGATGAAAATAACAGATTGAATAGGTCAATTTCAGTACCAGAAAGTCGAAATAAACCTTAAAAAATAATTGATATTCCCTTAAATAATTAAAATCCACTAAATGAAAGTGTTAATATCAGTATCGATGGCGAAACATCAGAACTCGCTTAAACTACAAGACCTAAAACTATTGAAATTAAAATTGAAAATGAAAAATAATAATAATTATAAAATAATTAAAATGGTTTCCAATATAATTATAATGGAATTCTTACTGAAGATATAAAATCGGATAAACAATTTCAAGATTTTATTATTAATTGTTTTACTGCTTTTGATAAATTCGATTCAGGGGGCTTAACTATTGCTTCGATTTTTACAGCTTTTTAATAAAATTAATAATATGAAATTTTTAAAGTTATTTTTATATATCAATATTTTTATTTTATTTTTTAAAAAAGTAATTTATTTTGAATTTGGAGATTTGGGGAAGTATTAAACCTTAAAAATTTATAATTAAAAAAAATTGAATATAAACGGATATTTGAAATATAGTATTTTAAAAATGAAAGAATTAATTAATAAATTAAATGAATTAAATCAGTAAGTTAAATTAAGTGATCATGAAATTTTCTAAAGGAAATTAACTAATGATATAGAAAATATTTGTTAAAAATTTTAAATTATCATGGTTAAAATGGCTAAAAAAATTAACATTGAAGATATAAGTAGTTTATCAACTGAAAGTTTTTAATAAGAATAAAAACAAAATGAATAGGAAAGCAATCTTTAAATTAAGCTAGGGTTTTTACTGCCTTTAGATTGTGGACATAATGGAATATATTCAAAGTTAGAATTTAAAATTTATGAACTTCATCTTAAATAGTCAGGATTTATTTCTTCTTGAATTTTTAATTTTTGAATTTTGAAATATAAATCGTATAAAAATGTTATTTTTTATATAAAAATTCAATATTAACTTTTTTAATAAAAATTAAATATTTATTTTAAAAATATATTAAAAATTTATATCAATAAAATTTCTATTCATTTTAATTCTAATTACATCTTAAAATTAATCAAAAAAAATAAAAAATTGAAACATTTTATTTTACTTTAATTATTTTTTAAGCAAATATATTTCATTTTGAAAAATTGTTTTTTTATTATATTTTTTTAATTTAAAATTTATTTATATAAATAAAATGACTTAAATTATTCATAATATTAATTTAATATTGATATTTATTCTAATTATGTTTGAAGTAAAAATCTCATTTTATAAAAACAACTTTATTTAATTGATTTCCTATTTTACTAATCTAAAAATAATTATACATTTTAATAACTAAATCATAATAAAGAAAATATTATTCTATTTTATAATATATTAATAACTATTTAAATTAAATTTAATATAATTTTTCATTATTATATTTTATTTTTTTTAAAAAAATATTTATTATTATAATAATATTATAATTTTAGTAAAATTATAGTTTATTAAAAATCAAAATAAAAATGTATTATTTATTATTAAATTACTTACTATATTAATATATTATGTAATATATAGCTAAAGTATAAAAAATAAAATTAAATTGTAAAACTTTAATATTAAAAAAAATTGCATTTAATATATATATATTTTAAACATAATAAACTTAAATTTCTGCATAATATATTTCCATGTCAAAAAAATAAATTTCAAATTCTTTTGTATTAATATTTCATTTAACTAGACTTTTTTTATTTAAATAAAATAATTTAAGATATATTCAACAAAAAAAGAATTATAAATTTATGTTTATTATTTATATAATTAATAAAACATTATTTATATATAATTATTAAAATATTAAAATATATATATAAATAAATATATATTTATACTTAAATATATATATATTTAATTTTAAAATTTATAATATATAATTATATTTTAATTTATTTTTAAATAAAATTATTTATTATATTATTTATAAAGATAATTTTTTTTAATGAAACATACAATATTTTTTTTTTATTTTTTTTTGAATTTAATATTTTCTTTTGAATAAAAAGAACTCACCATAGGCACACCATTAAAAATTTAATTATAATCTGCACATAAACCAATCTATTTTGTAGTTTCTTTATTAGAGCAAATATCATAATAATTATTCGTATCAATTTCTGGTGAAACATTTTAAAGCTAGCCTTCCATTTCTTTATCTTTTACTGATTAATAACCAAATGAATAATTGAATTTTATTTATTGTCCTCCAAACTAATACAATGTATGCAATGTAAAAGTTTCTGAATTAAAAAAGTTAGATTATAAAAATCTTTTTATTGGAATAAACTGTGATTTAAATTGTTCATACATAATAGAAGTTTTTAATAACCCTTAATAAGCTAAATATTTAATAAGTATAATATTTTTATATAATTTTTTAAAAATTAATTAATTAAAAAGATAAAAAGTATTATATTTAAAGTTAACTTGAAAAAGACTAAAATGTTTATTTTCATTTTGGAAAAGTTTTTATTCCACAGGATCCTGATTTAAAGCGAATTATAATTCATGTAAAAAAAATATAGTCTCAATATATTTAAATGCCAGTTAAAATTTACGCTTCTTTTACACAAGATATTGTCAATTTAAACAATGTATATATATAATATTTTTTTACTTTAACAACTATTTTAATTTATATTTAGAAACAATTTGATTCATTACCTCCTATATTCTAAATTACAATATTAGAAATTTCCTTTGAAAATATAAAAAGAAATTAAGATCTTTCATTTACAATAGAATCTTCTCCCCAAGAAACGCTTGAAGTATTAATCTAAACTTAAAATGGCTCATTACGGGAAATATAGCAATAAACCGAAATTATAGAATATTTAAAAAAAGGCGAAAAAATGATTTATAAAATTAATTATAATAGTGAATCATTAAAAAACCAGAAAATTTACTTAGTTGTATATACACTAAGAGGAAATCCTTCTATGTAAAACTAAACTAAAAAAATATAAATAATTAAATTAATATATATTAATAAAGTTATGTTAATTGTAACTAATTGCCTTAAAAAAATTAAAAATATTTATTAAAATAATCTGAATATAATCAATAAGAATTCGTTTTTTCATATTATGAAAGACAAGCGAACGGATGTGAAGATAACTTATTTTACATTATGATAGAAGCTCATAAAGATTAGGGTAGTGAGTACATGTTTTTTAGTTAATAATCATATCCTGATTAAATAAGTTTGTTAAATTTAAATTATGATGTAAATGGAATTGTAAAGAAAAATTTTTTGAGTGACTATTTTTTGATTATTTAAGAAAAAATGGACTATGATATACAAATTACATTAAATAAAAAGTAAGGAAATGCTAAATTTATTGTAAAAAAATGTGAATCTGATTACTTAAATGATTGTGTTATGTCCATAGAATATATCGAAAATTAGATAAAATTAGAAAATTTAAATGATTTTTATTATTCATAAAATTATATTACGTTTAAAAATGAATATAAAAACTGTAAATTTTAGTCAAGTACTAAATGTGTATATTATGTAGCTATTATTAATACAAATGAAGATAAATTTGATACTTATTATAGTATTATTGCTACACATTCTTTGTATAATTAAATTATTAATAATGGAATACCTAAATTAGATTTTGTAAACATAAATTAATATAAATATTATGTTTATAAAAGCCCAGATATGGAAAAAAATATGATTAGTTAAATAAAAATTAAAATAAATCATTAAACTGGAAATACTATTATTAGTTCAAATTTATTTTCAAGTATTTATAATAAATATTAATGATATAAAATAAAAAAATAAAAAATAAAAATTATATATATATATATATATATATATATATATATATATATATATATATATATATTTATACATTTATTTTAAAATAGAATTTTAAAGCAAATGGCCTTAAGTGGATAATTCCACTATATCATCTGAAAATGAGATTATTTTTAGAAATTAAGTTCATGGAGAACTTGAAAATTAAGAAATTTACATATCTATATTTGGAAAGGAATACTCAGCTTATATTCTATAAGTTGAAATAAAAACAAATGAAAAAAATCCTACAATTATTTACAATTTTCTTAAATAAAATATTTTCATTGTCTAAACTTTAAATTCTTACGAAGACATTTATTATTTTTAAATATAACTTTTAGATATTAAAAATAGATAATTTAATCCTGACATATAAATTAATTTTACTCCAATTAATGGAAATTTTATGCTTTATTTATGTAATGACTAAGTACTTGAATGTACAGCACAAAACAGCTTTATAAATACACGCAATTTTAATATAAATATAAAAAATTATGATTAAAATTATTCTAAAAGTAAAAAATATATTGGATTTGTTATTCCTGTAAGTGAAATTAATACTAATTCTTAAGAAAATAATCTAGAATTATCTTTTAAAATTGGCTATAGTATTTAAAATTCTTTAATTTTGATTCCACATGATGAAATTCATAAGGAAGTTATTTTAAAAGAAAATACTAAAATGTTTTATTTTTATGTAAATTTAAATGATGATTATATTATTTCAGTAAATCTTAATGAAGGAAATATTACTGGTAGTTTAGAATTAGGAAATAAAAAAATCTTATTTAAGAATAAAAGTATTCTATAATTAAATTAATTAGACATTAAATAAGCTTGTTCAAATATTTTTAAAGAATGTTTTGCATTTTTATAAATTTAAGGAATTTCTTAAACAAATGAAGTTTTAATATTTATTTAAAATAGTCAATAAAAAGTATATATCATATATATTAATATAATAAATAATAAAATAAATATATATATTATTTATATAAAAATATTTATAAATATTAAAAAAAGATTTAACTGATACCAGGAACTCCACATATATAAAATTATCCAAAAAACAAATCTGAATATCAATAATTTTATTTTAAATATTTTAAAGGGCTAAACTACTATCTAATAATAAACAATAGAGAATAAAAGCTTACTATTTTATTAAACTTTAACTAATAAAACTACCCTACAAGGGAAAAATTCGATTACCAATCGCACTAAGATTAAATAAATTTACATTAAACAATAACCTAAATAAACCAAGAATTAATAAACTGTAAAGAATTACAATGCAAGATTTTAATATCAGTATACGTTCCAGAAATTTTATAAGAAAATCTACATGAAAAATACTACGAAATCTTCTTAACATCCAGAATAATGAGACTCAGATAAAACGAATAATAAATAAATTATGCAAGCAATAAAATAATGAACATATATACTATTAACTTTGCATCTAGCATAAAATAAGCTTTTATATATATAAATCCTATAGGCAGTTGTTCTTTAGAAATGCTAATTAAAAAAGAAGGTTTTGAAAAAGAAAATGATTAAAAAATTTTAAACACAAATAAGTCTCACCAAAAAGCTTATGGATTTGTAGAAATAAAAAAAGAACTTTTCCCTGATAAATAATTATAAGGAGAATATACACTTTTTGTAGGAAGTGTAGAGGATTTATGTGAATATTCCTTAGGTTATTTTATTAATGATTATAAATATGTAAAAATATATCCCGGCCATAATTTATTCGTACATCTAGAAAGAAACGATAAACTCTATTTAGAATATTACTCGCAAAAACCATTTAAAGTAGAGCTTTCTCTTGAAGAAGGAAATGTTTAAATGGGACTTATAAATCAATAAGATTTCGATTTAGAAAAAAAATTAAATATAAAGGAGTATCCAGTTAATAATGTGAGTTAAAAAGGAGTATATTCATTGCATTTGGATGAAAAAAATCCTATTTATAAGCCCTAAAATGCATATATAATAACTATTTAATGTCTATAAGAAGCCCGTTTTTCCGTTTTTGTACAAGAAGAAAATTCTTTATTAATTTTGCCGGCTTAAAGAATGTTTAAATTTTAATTAAATTTAAATTAAAATTAATTATTTTCCTTTTATAAAAATAATAAACCTTTCACTATAAAAATTACTTTAGTAAACGGAAATATAGATTTTTATGAAAAAATGGAAAATAAGGAAGAAACACATAAATTTAACATAAATGGGCATATGATAAATAAAAAAATATTTTTTGAAAATTAATAAATGGAAAATTCTTAAAAGCAACCTTTTACATTTAAAATTGCTTCTAAATAAAACTCTTTGTATATAATAAGCATTACGGAAAAAAATAAGAAGATGAATTTGGCAAGTGGAATACCTTTTTTTGATGAATTAGAGCCTTTAGATTAAAATTAATATTTATATTATACTATTTAAAATAAGTATTAGAAAACTTTTAATATTAATGTATTTCTATTAAATGATATTTTTGAAAGATCTTAAGAATTAAATAATTATCCTTTTATAAAGATTTAATCTAAAGATTATTAATTAGTATAAAACATGTTCTTTTTGCATTCTGATGTTATTGCTTTTGAATAAGAAAACTCAAAAGGAGCTTATGAAATAAAAATAGAAAATTAAAGTTCCTTTTTGATTTAAAAAAATGAAAATCTCTAATTTTATTTAATAGCTAATTAAGGGTATTCATTATTAATAATAAATAAATTTACATATAAAACTTCTTATTAAGATTCTTTTGATAATTATTAAGTTTACATGCCTGAGGGTACTTAATAATTAACCCTTGAGTTAATATAATGTTAAGGAAAATCTTAAATATATTTAAACGAATAACCTGTATTAGTAAAATACAATCACTATATGGTAAAAGTAGATAAGGATAATTAAAAAGGAGATTTCAATATATATGATTTTTCTGTCCAAAATTAAAAAAATTAAATCCATTCATATTTAATCCGTCCACATTTAGATACAGAAGACACATTCTATCCATATTAATTTTACAAAATAGACAAGAAATTCAGAATTGAAAAAAATGAAGATTTTTCGAAAATATAACTATATTTTAGTGGAATTAATTGCATTTATAATGATTGTTCGCTTTCTTCTTATTAACTAGAAAATATAGTTTATAAAGTATACACAAGTAAATCTTTTAATGATATTAATGCATTATCTTTGTGCGGAAGTTCTTTTAATGCTCAAAATTATAAAACGTTTAGTTATTTTTATTTAAATATTAAAGAAAGTGAACATAAATATTAAATTCCCTTAGATTTTTAGGATAGTGATCATATTTTTATAGGAGTTTAAGTTTAGGGGGTTTTCAAGCATAGTTTGACTTAACAATTGAAGGATTTTTTCTTTTCATACGATGTGGAATAAGTTGAAAAACCTTAAAAATTCCTTGTTTAAAAAAATAAAATTTTAATTGGAGTTTTTGTAGTTTTGGCTTTGTTTTGTGTTTTTGGAATCGCTTTGTTATTTTTATGTAGAAATAAAAAAAGATGGTACTATTCGAAATATAATAAGAAAATAAAGATAATAATATATCAGCTATTAATATTACATAAGATAATTCAGTTGAATTAAATAAATATTAATAATTTAAAGATGAAGTTAATTTATAATGATGCATTTTTTTTTATGAGAAAAAAATAGTTTATTTATTATTTTTAAAGAAATTATGGAGTATTTTAAAAAATAAATAATTTTAAATAAATTTCTTTTTTAAAAATATATTAATATAAATTAATTTTATATATAAACATTATTAATTTTTTATTATTAAAATATAATTATATTTATTAAGTCATTCTATAGAAGAAAATATTGTTTGAAATTATTTGGAAATAATATTTTCCAAATCTTCAAGTTCAACTTAATATTCAATTTATAAATGACTTTTAATATTATTAATAATACTTAAATATTGTTTATTTTATAAAATTTTATGAGTAAATTCAGGTAAAATATCATTTTTTTAATTAACATTTAATGCTTTCATTAATGAATTAATTATATTAGAATTTTCTCTATTTTTTTTTCTCAAAATAAGAAAATCATGTACAACTTTTTTTAAGGTCTCCCAATTTTATTCAACTGTATTTTTTTCTTATTTTTTTTCTTTATTTTCTTCATTATTATCATTAATACATTACATAAGTTGATCAAAATATTTTTGAAATTCTTAAAATTTAATATTTTCTTTTGCTAAATAAGATAATTTTTAAACAATATACTCTAAACTGTAAACCTGGAATTCCTTTTATAAATTTCTAAATAAGGAATCATACTAGTTATATTATTTAACCAAATTATTATTCTAAAATTCCAACTAACTTTTCAAAATTTCTAATTCTTCATTTTTTTAATATAAAATATCCTTCCAATTTTTTTATTCATTGTTAATTTTTTCCAATTAATTTTTTTCCTATTCAATTTACTAATATTTTTCAAGCAATCTACTAGTTTTTTCAACAAAAATTAAATTTTCCTTTTTCAAAATTTCATTTTCTTACATACACAAATCTTTATTAATATCATTTTCTAATTTTAGTTTTTTAATTTCATAATCTTTTTCCAAAACCTGAATTTTATTCTAAACATCAATATATCCATTTTAATAACTTTTGCATTATTCTTCTAAAAAACAATTCTTTTTTTCTAAATCGAAAATTAATTCTTAATATTTTTCCATTTCTTTTATATATTTTTCAATTTTTCCTTTCAAAAGTTTAATTTCTTATTTAAATTTTTCCTCAATATTACTTTCAAAAAAATTTACTTGTTTTAACTATTCTTCCTTTATTTGTATTATCTCATTTAATCTTTAGATTTCTTTTTTTAACATTCTTATTTCCTTTTCTTCCGATTTTTGAAAAGTACTTAAATTATCCTACTAAGTAACTAAATTTTCATTCAAAGATTATTAAGTGTTTATTAATAAATTTTTATACTACAAAGTATTATTTGAATGCGCCTAAGTACTTCCCAATTCTGTAAAAGAAATTAGTTTTAGGTTATTTTTTTAAGGTATTTCAGTATTTTTTATTTTTTTTGATTATGAAATTCTTTAACAAGCTTCTTTTTGAAGATAAGAAGAATATTCTTCCGAACTTTAGGATTCTTCTGTAATATTTTTACTTTATTCGAATTTGTATTTTTAGAATTTCATTTAAAATATTTATAACTTTTTTGAAATAAAAAATAAAATGATATTTTTTTAAAAAAAAAATATATACTATAATAAATTTTTATATTTAAAAAAATATAAATAAATATATTTTTATTAAAATTGTATTACTTTTATTTTTTTTACATTTATTATTATTTTTTTTTTAAAATACAAAAAAAAACAAAGAAACAAAACAAAAAATAATAATTTTATTTGATACTATAAATAAAATCAGAAGGTTTTCTCATTTATAAAAAAATATTTATTTTTTACAAAATCTTTTAAAAATACAAAGACAATAAATCTCATAATAAGAAAAAATTACAAGAAAATGATGTTTAACAATAGTAAACTTAAAAAAATATAATTAATTTAAGCAAAATAAATAAAAAAAGATTCATAAAGTTATATTCCAGCAAACCCACAATAAATGATGGATGTGCTTAATAACATGATGAAAATGATGTTATAACAGTAATAATTTTATCCATAAATGTGTAATAATCCAAGTTTATATTAATCTCATTAATCTTTTTCCACAAGCTAATCATTATAGTAATTTCAGTAATTTAATTAATAATAAATTCCCAATAATATACCAATTTAACCAAATAATTTTGGCTCATAAAGTATTGAAAATAGGTTTTAATATTAATAAAATGATTTAAAAAATTTTTATGATAAAGTAGGCTCTACATAACAAAATGATTAGTTCGTAAAAATGAATGTTGATAATTAATTAGAATAAGCCAATAATTTGGAATTATTACCTTACGAATCTAATTTTATATAAGGTGAATATAATGATCCTTTAAACTTTTCTATATAAAAATAAAATTAAAATTATTAATAAGAACTTTTAAGATAATAAATGATGTAAAATTAGTTTAATAATTAAGAAAATAAGGCATAAATACATTAATAATAGTAATAATTCGTATAATAATAATAATTATAAAGTTTTCCTTAAAATCTTAAATAAACTAATATATAAGAAAACAAATAATCATAATTATAAGGTTTTTCCGAAAGCATTCCTGAAAATAAATAAGAATAGATAAATTATTCAGGAAACAAATCTGAAAGAAGATAATTAACATAAACAGAAAACCTTTAATAAAAAAACACTAAAAATAGCGAATATAATAATAATAATTAATAAGAGAACGAGTTTATTATAAATTAAACAATATAATCAAACAATAATATTTAAGAATTAAAAGTTTTCTAAAGACAAGAAAGTTAATAAAACATTAAATAAATAAACTATGATGATATTCCTATAAAAACAAACAAAACCTAAAATTATGAAAATATTCCTATTAAAGCAAAATAGAATAATGCAGTAACTAATTATGATGATATTCCTATAAAAACAAATAAAATCAATCAAGAAAAGTCTTAAATATAATAAAAAAAATAATAAAATTCTTTAGAAGATATTCCTATCAAATCTATTGGAATATCAAAAAGATTTGAAGATTTAGTAGAAGAAAAATTAAAAAACGAGCAATAATAAATAGAAAATGAAACATATTTATCATAAAATATACTAAAGAAAAATTTTCTAAAAAAAGGAACAAGAAGCTACCTCTCAAATGCTTAATAACGTTCTAAAGCTGCAATAAATCATATAGAAACAATTATTGATTAATAAAAAGTAAGTTTTAATGAAATTATAATAAATAATAATAGTTTATATAAATAACAAAAAAATTAATAAAATTAAAAAAAACAAATTAAAATAATGCTAATAATAATATTAATACTAATAATAATAATAATGTTAATAATAATAATAATAATAATAATAATAATAATAATAATAATATTAAATATAATAATAATTCGTCTATTATTTATAAAAGTAATGAAAATAAACAAGAAAATTTTTTATAAAGCAAACCAAAATAAAAATTTCTTTAAAGAGGAAAAGGAAAAGGAGGAGGAATACAAGGAAAATAAAAAGAAGAATTAAAAGAAGAATAAAAAGAAGATCAAAAAAAATAATAAAAAAATTATAATTTTTCTTATAAATAAGATTAGTAAATAGATTTATTAAGTTTAAATAATGATTTTTAAGAGAAAAATAATAAAAAAAGCAAAACTTAAAATATATTTATAATGGATTAATATTAGTGTGAAAAATAATAAATTAATTAAAAATAAAATTATTTTAACGAAGATGACATTAATTTACCTAAATAATAATAAGATAACTTTGAATTTTAAAATAATAATGATAATTCATATGAAGATATTTAATAATCATCATAAAAATCTTAATTTATAGATAATCAAGAATCCTAACTAGATGAAGATGATGATTAGGAATACTTTAAAATTGTGCAAAAATATTTTGATAAAAAAAACACTAATTAAGATAATAATAATATAGAAAAAAAAAATGAAAATAAAAAATAAACTGCCTTAGAAAATTAATAAAATCAAAAAAAAAATATATAAGATGATAACTAAAATAATAGGAAAAATATATTAGAAAATAATAATTAGAAATACAAAAATTAATAAGAATAAATTGAAAAATTAACAATTGAATTAAATAAATATAAAACAGAAAATGAAAAAGTTTAAAAAATGAAAGTTAAATATGAAGAAATGTTAAAGAATATATCATAATAATAAGAATAATTCGAAAAATAAAAAATAGCCGAATTAGAAGAATTCGAATAATGGAAAAAAGAAGAAATCAAGAAAAATTTAAATGAAAAAAGAGTTAAAGAAAGACAAGAAAAAGTATTTTTTTGTTTAAAAAAAAATAATAAAATTTAAAACAAAAAAGGCAATGTAAAATTAACCAAATAGAAAAGAAAAAGAAGAAATAGAAAATTTAGTTTAATAAATAAAAAAATTGCAAGAAGAATAAAAAATTAAAGACTAAAGACATAAATTAGCTTTTGAAAAACAAAGAAAGCTTTTAGAAGAAGCAAATTAAAAAAATTAAGAATTATAAGAATAAATTAAAAATTTATAATAAAAATCAAAAGAGGAAAAAAAACCAAAAACATTCCAGAAAACACCAAAAAAGTATAATTTGAATTAAAAAAAAGACCTTTATCCTGAAAATAAATACTTTCCTACAAGTAGTGATGGTGAAGAATAAGAAAACAGTTTAAAAGACGAAATTAATAATTAAACTAATATTCATGAAGATTATGAGAATAATATGTAAAATAATAACTCTAAATATTCTGAAAATATAGAAAAATACGAAGATATAATAAATTTCGACCCTTAAAATAACAAAAAATAAAAAAACAAAGTATATATCGAAAATATAAATAATAAAAAAGTAATAAATTAGAAATAATATATAAATGAAAGTCAAGTGTTAAAAAAATAACAAGAATTAGAACATATTAAAAAACTAAATTAAATAGGAATGCATAATTCAAAAGAAACTAGTAAAAAATTTAAATACGATATAAGTAATATAGGATCTTAAAATATTTCTATTTCTATCCTTGATAAATTGATTGATTAAAACTAATTTTAATATGATTAAAATTAGTTCTATTAACAATATTAATAAAGTAATAAAAAAACTTCCAAAATAATACAATAAACAGTAGGATAAGATGGAAAAGTAAAAAAAATAAAAATATAAAAAATATATCTCTATATATAGATAACAAGATTTTATGAAGATTAAAAAATTGAGTATATATTCGCAAATAAAGTTAAAAAATAAGTTTTTCCAAATAAATATTCTATTGTTAATTTTATAAATTAAGATATAAAATAAGTACTACCTGACGAAACTATAATTTATTATTTCGCTGATGCTTTTACTACGTAAACTACTTTTCCTAATGGAGTCAATGTATTAATTTTTTTATATTTATAAAAAAAAAAAAATTATTTTAGGTTTATAAATTTCCTAATGATTAATATGAAATACACTTTCCAAATGGATAAAAGGAAATTAAGTATTTTTATTTCTAAATTATTATTTTATTTAATTCTTTTTTTTTATTAGATTTTGTGATGGAACAATGAAATTTATATCAGAAACTGGAGAAGAAGTAACATATTTTGAAGATGGAACAATATAAACATTAGATGTTAATAAAGTAAAGAAATGTAGATATAAAAATGGAGAAGAAGTAAGACTTTATTTATAAACATATAAAAAAATTGTTATTAAAAAAATAGAAAATATTTTATCCTGATGATTATGAAGAAAATTAATATATAGATGAAGATGATGATTATTATTGAATAACTAAAAATATATATATATTTTTTTTTCCCTATATATATATATATATATTAATTTTTTCAAGAATTATTTATTATTATTTTTATTATTATTGTTTATTATTCTATA